AATGTTATATTTACCCACTAAATATGGGTAATATAGATTCTATATTTAGAAATCCAAAAATGGTTTGGGTAAATATAAGAATTTTATAATATTAAAGATCTCTTATATTTACTCTTATTTACCACTCATAATCATACCCTAACAATGCTTTTCATTCACACCCTTTGAGTTTCTAGAAATATAATATTTAATAGTTTTTGTTATTTATTTAATTAAAAATCATCAAAAAATATTGAACTAATCAAATTGATACAACTATTAAATGAGTTTCTTCAAGCTTCAGAATAAGTTTTCCCTAAGAACCTACGCTCATATTCTCTCATAGTTTTTAATTATTTTATATTTTTTATATGGCTAGAAACTCCTCTAAATACTACCATTGAGGTGCTCTAATTATTTTATGTATCACTACTTAATGATGGTTTTAAGGAACATATTATTTAAATTAACAAATCAAAATATTCTAATGAATTATACATGCCATATTGGAAATCTTTACATATTTACATATTATTTTAAATATAAACTTACAAATACATATGTACTAATTTAAATATTATATAATATAAAGTTTTAACATAAATCATTTATCGATGTTAATTACTTTATAAAAAGTGTATTTATGTCTATTTGGATACTATATGTGATTGATCATACAATTATTTTCTTTCATATATTTTAACTATATCCATATTACTCTAATTAAAATTGCGCTTTTGTTATAAACGTATAATTTTACAAATCAAACAATAATGCTTGAATTTTAAAAATCATCATTTTCACTTTTTCTTATTTCTTTGATTTTTTATTAAGAAGATTTAAATACTAATAACACAATATTTTTTTGGGTTTGGTGAGCTCAAATAAGTTTGAAAGAACCAATAATCTCAAACGTATTTGTTTTACGTTAAAACACTTATATTCATTCTAAGTGTTATGTAGATTAAGTTTTGCAATATAAAATATATTTATCTATGAGAGATATATTATTTGATATTAGTTATTTCTAATTTTTTCTTTATATTATAAAAATTATAATTTTTTATTTTTAAATATTCTAATCACGTGTTTGACGGAAACCAAAAATCTAGTTGTTGCTTAAATATAAAACCAAATGTATAGTTGCATTTAGAAAATAATGAACATTATCACGAAAAAGTAAATTATCAAATTTAGAAACAAAATTACTTTATTTTAACCGAATATATTTGGTTGAAAAGCTAAACCCAAAACATTCAGGACAAATGTTGTTTTCTTTTACTTATTTTATAGGATGTAAAATCATAGAAAACGTGAGTTTGTTATACAGTGACCGAGTTATATGACCAATAAGATATGGATCGTGACAAAATGTCCCTTATGACAAGTACCTAGACACATTTCCCAGAAAAAAACAAAACACATTCATGAGGTGTCTTGACCTCTTCAATGCCTAGTTGTTAAGGAATATCTCATTTTTGGGTTGTGTGCACGAAGAAGAAAGTGAGACACTACGACTTTCTTACAAATCTATAAATACACCCACATACATTCATAAGTTTTAAAACAAGAAAAGTATTTTTTCCAATTAAATCGAGTTGAAGAAAAAGATGAGGACTTCTTCTTCTCTTCTTGGTTGGTTCTTGATCATCTCTCTCTTGTTACTCTCGCAGTCCCTAATAATTTCATGCGAATATCATGAAACCTCGACCATTCGACCTTTGGGTGGGGATCGGAAACTTGTTGAACATGAAGAGAACGCGGATGGGTCTCACGGTCATCACCGTGACCAGCTTCGAGTATTCGTGAGGAAAAGCAAGAAGAAGAAGAAATCATCCGCTACTCGAACTCTTCTCTCTAACCCATTAACTTATTTATCTACTGTTGTGAGTTCCTTTGTTCTAATGCTCGCTGCATTCTAATCTATTTCCAAGATTATAGTTTGCAAGCGACTTTTGTTTTTGTTAAATGGTTTGAATTTACATGCA